ATCTTTTTGAAAAGACCACTCAAACTTATTCTTATTAACTGAAAGGGTGATTTGGAGTGACTAACCACTAGAGGAAATAGTGTCGAGGGTAGATTGCATAGTGCGCCTACATAAATCGAGACTAGAGTCGGAGCTAAAAATTCCAAGATCATCCTATCGTCGTAATCTAATTAATTTATAATTTTGTTTCACAAAAGGTTCGCTTCACATAAAATCAGTATGTTCTCCATAATCGAAAGAAAGCAAAAATTGTTTACTGAGAAGTCCTTAAAAAATCGCGATTAAACGCGGTTTAGTTGCATTTTTCATGGTTTTTCGATTATTTTAGATCACAGGCCACAACTTCGCTTGTCTCTTAACATACCTTTGAATTGATTGTTAATGGATCTCAAGCAAAAACCATCTTCGTCTATTTTATCTTATTTATGTGTAGATTTTGTAATCGGATTCTCAAACCTACTCTAGGTTTTGGTGATTTTTTAACTTTCATTTCAAAGTTTTGAAATCACAATTAGGCAATAAGCATTAAATTACTAACTTCGTGTGAATATTAAGTCGTTTAGAAAGACCCAAATTTTTCTTCAATGCAAATTTTTAACACGCGATCGGAATTTGATTAAGTCCGGTAATCTCGCGAAGGATAAGATTAACATTTGGAGGATTTTCAATCCCTCTTTTAATGCTTGACCATCAAGGGACGCGCTGCTCGGACGCTACGCGGGCTATAGTGTTTGCCGATTGAAATTATCATTTTGACCTCAAAATTTTGCGTAGATGAGAGCAAAGGTGGTTTTGCTCTCGTTTTGCTCCTACACTTAGTTTAAATTGTGTAATTATTTATATATTCAGCGTACCGTTAACCTCGTACCCCTTAGGTTAGCAAATGAGGAACATTGTGGAATTGGAATGCGATCATTTCAACAATTAGCAATGCCAATTTTATGGAAATCAGAGTTAACCCGAAATGGTGATTGGCATTTCCTTTCTTTTCGATTGTGCCATCAACTTGAGTAGTAGTAGTGTAAGCGCTAACGGTCCACACAATATTGTAAGGCTTAGAGTGATTACAAAGGAGGCGAACGGACAAATACGTTTGAAAACACAATTCTATTTCGTATTATTTATTGCATAGGGAGGTGAAATCATCCCTTCTCTTGTGCTATATAGCGGTGTAACTTTGGGTTATTCTGTAAAAAAGTGAGAGAATACACATTTTGTAACGTACATTAAGCAACCGCCTGTCTTCCTTATTTATAAGGCAGATAGCTCTGATGTATCAGAACTCTGAAACATTTTAGAACTAAGGATCTTAGGACAAATCGGTCGAGTTTCTTTAACTATTAAGTCGCTTACAGCAAATTTTAGGCCATAATAAGCCGCGTCAACTTTACGTCTTTGCAAAAATTGTTCTTATAACCTTCCTCAAGTCGAACTCGATAATCGACAAAGTCTCCGGACCTGTGGTTTAAAAATTAGATTGGTTTTGTTAGTTTTATTTGCACCACGCCAAATTCAAGGTCAGCTGAACCTTAAAGAATTATCAAAAATGTACGCAATACGAAGGATGGTTGTAGTAGTTCGAATAATGTTTACGCAGAGTTACCCGATCTATATGTCGTGCGAGTGGATTTTCGCTTTGTGTTGCATTGTACTTAAGCCAATATTAAAAGATTCGGATCAGTTCGAATATAGTTTCTCCCTTTTTTTATGTGGTTGCTAATTAAAATAATTTTTTAATGAGTTAGTATACAACGTCAGCAAATGCTAATTTTCATTTTTAAGATTTCATATCATAGTTTATTTATAAAATTTTCGATTAATAGTTTACGCTTTTCCGTTATTGCTTTGTGTTATTACTTACTGCTTATGTGCTCGTCGTGCACTTTCCTAAGCTTGATTAGTGGAAAGAGTTTCTACTTTTTGAAGACTTACTAGAAAGATACAAATGGGTTGAGAAACTTGATATAAACACTATTAGCAGTCGTATCATCGAAGCGATATGTGATTTGTTATGAGCAGTGAACAGTGAACACTGCATCTATGCTATGCATAACGCTATAGGCGTGCGATTTAATGTCTTGTGTACTAAATATAGATACGTTTGGAGAAAGCTTTCATTTTTTTTTTTTTTTTAATGAAATTCTTTGTCCAAAGTTCGCAGTCGTGGTTTTAGTTTATTTGCTTCAATATTGTTCGTTAAATATTTTCCTATACTTGCTTGAGTGTTTTTCTTCTTTTATACATTTTCCATCAAAATGTATAAAAATGCATTTTATAAGTTTTGCCTAAACTCATGAAGAGAAACCAAAAGAGGAAGGACACAAGTGATTCTCTAAAGAAAAAAAAAAAAAAAAAAAAAGAAAAAAGTAGCAGAAGAAGAGACGCAAAAGAATAAGTAAAAGTTATATTCGCTTAAAGATGACTGCTAAATATCCCCCTAAAATCATTTCTGTACATGCTAGGAAGCGTCTGAGGGTCAATTGCCAGATAGGCAGACGGACCTAAGTTGGGCCGGCTTAGGCCAAACCATTGATATATTTGGTTTTGCGTGCTCAAACAATTATGAAAAGGTTGAGGTAAAATTGAAAAGAAATTCCAGCGTGTTAGAGCTATCGGTGATTTCAGCTGCCCCGTCTTCTTTTTCGCTAAACGGATTGATTATATTTCGCAAAATACCATATTCGCCTGGTGACGTACTGCGGACGTCGAGTAACAAATTCAATAATAGATTTAGTACGACGCCTTATGTCGCGTACAAAATAAGCGCAAGTTTGCAGACAACGAAATTATGTTAAAAAGTACTTAAATAAACATAAACTTAATATTGACGCATACTTGGAAATTTTCCTGGCATCTTACACAATCAGCCAGTCAAGTGTTAACGTTATACGAGCTGCTGGTTGCTATTTATAAAGGAAGCCTTCTCGAGAGAGAAAAAAAGGAGTGGAAATGTTTGTTGCTTCCTCTTTCTTTTTTTTTTTGTTTTGTCTATTTTTATTTGTTTAATCATATTTTCAAGTATTTTGCATAATGTAATATTTGCCAAAACTGGCGAGAAAATCTAGTAAAACGTAACAAGAAAAAAACTTGATTTTTTATATTTTTAAAATAAATATGAAATACAATAAAAACTTTGACAAAACTTTTCTAGTTAGAAGAAAGAAACTTTATATTTTAATATAAATAACAAAAGCTTTTACTAAAACGGTAGATCTATAAAGTTAATTCTGTCGAAGAAAACAAATCATTTTCTCATATTTTTTGAGATTACATGCTCATGTTTGCCGTGATTTCTTTTCACATTTCCAATTGTGAATGTAAATTGTACCGTTTAGTTATGAGATAATATATATTTCAATTAGCACAGCGCGAGTCATCTGTTGTTAATTGCCTGAACTTTAGAAAAAGAAGAAGAAAATATTTCAATCGCTTTGGCAACTTCTCAAACATTATTGTCCAAACCATCACAGAACATTTAGGAACGTTAGTATCGGTTTACGTCCCTCGCAAGTCGTAGCCCATTTCATTGAAAACTTGAAGGTCCTGTAAAAAAATAAATAAAATGTAGCAGCACAAGAAATAAAGCGAAGAAATGCCAGCTAGAAGAAATCCGAGGTATACAATGTTACTATAAGATCGTCATATGATTTTTCGTCAAAATGGCAGGAAATGGAATTCAATGTTGCATAGTGTATTTAGGCTTTGGCTACTTATGTTGTAACTTTTTTGCGGCTCCAGACAAATACTGACAATGCTTTTCTTTTTTATAGGAATCTGAACTAATTCCCTAAATCCATCAATTTTTTGATAAAAGTGTTTCCCCCCAGCCCCAAGGTGTCATCTGAATCGTCCGATGACATCCGGCTCTTGAAACTCTTGTACATTTTATTAGTTTAGTCCTATCTTTGAATTTCTTGATCTTCATAGATCTGCGTTACTCTTATTATCTTCGCGATGGCTTATTTATTGACCGCTTCTTGCCTCTTCCGCTGAAGATTTGAAGTCTCTTCTTTTTCTTTTGACCTTCTCTCTTAACTTTTTCCTTAAAGGCAATATTTTGGAAGATTAGTTTGCTTCTTTCCTACATACTGAAAGTGTTTGAGCATATAGTTTCGTTATTAATTATTTAGTCCATCAAGTAGACTATTCGCTTTTTTAACATGCTCTTCCTGGAAGAGGACTAGGCATGATTAGCCTCCTATACGGCATTTATTATCTGTAGTTAGGACTATATTGAAAGATTGACGAACAGATACCTTGTTCACTGATTGCAGAAGAGATGTCCATGTTTGATATCCATGTTCAGCTAACTTCATACACTTTCAAATTTAATATTGTTAATATGTCTAATGATACCAGCCTGTATCAATCTAAACCAATTTCAATATCTCGCCAACCTCTTTTCAAGCCAATCCCATCCCAAGTCAATTCCATTTCAAGCCAACCTCGACCAAAGTCGATCCAGGCAGATACCGGCACAGCCGCACAGACGAAGAACGAACCGAATATTGGTTAACCATAGCCCAGGTAAAGCTCAACGCTAATCTATGTTTCTCAAAATGCGAGTAAACCTGCGATGAGAATTTTTTTAGAGCGACTCCCGTCTTCATGATTCTTAGCGAACCTCACTTAAAACGATGACCATTACCTTGATTTTCAGTCTACACTTTGATGATTTGTAATCTTCAACTAAATTAGAACAAAATGCAGGAAATGCTCTTAGTAGACATTAGATTTCTCCTAAACATAAATTGCAGATTATGACAAGGTTGTCATACATGTAAACTTGGGTTCCGTAAGAACAAATAGAGACGAAAAATTATGATACAATGCAGAGGAACACGGAATCAAGCAATAAGTGCATCTAGATTCGTAAGATCAAATTCGATAACATGAGAGAGTAGAAGTTGATAACTAAATTATTTGTTTTTGTAAAGTATCCGTGGAATTTATTTTATATTCTTTGCACTTTCGATTTGTCAAGTTCACTTTTTTCATTCCTACGCCTCAGTTTTTGGCAAGACCATTGTTTTATATTTTCCTTTAATATTGCCCGATGGCTTATAGTGGCATACCAGATATAATTTATTGCCTCTGCGAAATAATAGGTTCACGTGCGCAATTAAAATCAATAGACCCATTATTAACTTACACTTTTTTATAGCCCACTCCCAAATTTACAGAATCCTTCCAAACAAGTTGTGTGAAATGACCAGTTTCTATAGAAAATACAGATTTTTCAAAATCATAATGTTCGATTTCGTTATACCAAGCTTGGGCCGCCATGCTACCATTAAATTTTTTACAATCGGTACAACAATAGATATTTTCGCCGTAATCTGCAGCCGCACTGTGAATCAATTGTCCTTTTTTAGCAACTTCCTGAAAATAATTTACTTAGCGCATCATATTTGTATGAATTGAAAAAACAAAACTTGCCCTTGCCCATGCTTCTGCAGCGCGGCAAAGTTTCGCATTTAGCTTTAAAGGCGGAGCTCCATGAAGTGCTCTAAATTTGTTGTGGGCTTCCAAGCATTCGCATTCTATCGCTCCCCATTTCTAAGTTAAAGACAATTTCGCATATTGAAAAGTTGACTCATAACGACGCCAAAATCGCTTACTTGCTTGTCGCACGACGTTTTGTTGGCGATTTACCTACAATTTTGAAAAATTCAATGCGTTTAAATTTCTTTTTTTTTTTCAAATATAAATTTTTAATATGCTTTGCCAACAATTTTTCTTCGACTTTGACATATTAAAAACATTTTGGGAAGTTTCCCAAATATTCTGTCAATAGCAAGGCTATTAGGAAAATTTTCATATTTTTAACTTTCTATTTCGTTTCTAAACTTTTCATTTCTGATATAATGTTCATATCATATTGGTTATTTGGACTTGTAATAAATAAAAAAAATCTATTCAAAGAATTGCATAAAGAATATATACTTCAAGAAAAATTTGAAATCGCAGCAACGAAAATGGTAGATTCAACGTGCGATAACGATTAATGGGCCACGGGGTGGAAAAACTTATGTGCAAAAACTGCCGCCATCAAACCGACTGAATTTAAAATTGTATGAAAAATGACGTGCTGTGGGACCAAAAAAATTGACAACGCATAAAAGCAAGTGTCGCTCGATTGAATGCATTCAATGAATAGTATTAGGTGCTTGCATGTATTTTGATCATTTTTTCACTTAAAAATGACATTTATTTATTTATAATGTATATTAATCAAAATAAATTTGTATCATTTGCTACAATTTGTTCCCGCATTTCTGGCAGCGTGACGACGCCATGCCACCATTTGCGCACTTCTCCAACATTTCAAAGCCGTATGCAACCAAGCTATGCTGTATCGATTTAAAGAAGTGGCAATTAAAAGGCGCTATGATTTGTACGTCCACTGGGTGTCGAAGAACTTTCCATTCGAGCTGCAACAGTGTATCCTTGAGAACTCTTGCAACATATGGCCGAGCGTTGTCCTGCAAGAGGATGACTGTTGCTCCGTTAGCCACTGCAACAACACTTCATTCAGTTTGTTCAATTTTGTTCAATGTCGGTAGACATCTGTACTAATAGTTTCATTCGGTTTAGCAGCTCGTAAAACGCTATACCTTGCGGATACCACTACGTTTTATGGACGGGTCCCCTGGACTAACCTACGACTTTTTGAGCCACTTTTCATCGCCAGTCACAACACGTCGAAGAAAACTCTTTTTTGTTGCCTGGCAAGCAAAGAAACCACGGCGTTGAAACGGTTTGAAATGACTTTTTCAGTCAATTCGTATGATAACTATTTTCCTTCCCTTTGGATCTTGCCCATCGCATATAAATGCCTAGATACAACTGCTAAGCTGCTCAAAAGTTCTTTGAGGGTTTGAGCTTTGCTTTCGTCTAATAAGTCGTGCAATTCATTGTCTTCGAACTTCTTTCGTCGTTCAGATCTTTTTTTACGATTGAGATCAAAATCACCACTATGAAACCTAAGGTGATAATTGGTAAATGATGGAGAAGCATCACCATAAGCTTCTCAAAGTGTTTGATGGGTTTCGGAAGCAGCTATCATCAAATCAAATAACAAAAATAATGGATCTCGCAAATGCAATTTCGAGCGTTCCATGATAAGCACCTACCAGTGTGTACTGAACAACTCAATAATGGAAAATTGTCCAATTCATTGTAAAGGAAGATCAAAATCATCGAATCTAACAGTTGTGCATATTGATATTTTCTTTTTCTTTATCATTTTCACCAATAGATGACGCTGATCAAAATACATCCAAGCACCTATTATAAAGAACGTCAAAAAAACGAAATAGTGTGCCATTGAACGCTCAGCTAGTACCCAGATAAGAAGTGAAAACCAATTATGATTTAATGTCAATTGAGCACTGAAATCAATTATTATACATTGCACTATTTGTCAAGCAAGGCATATTCATTACTTCAGAGGGAATATAAGACACAGAAGAACTTGAAATAAACCCAGCTCATATTCAGAATCGCAATCTGAGTCGATTCAAGGTCGCCTGTTTATCTGATACTTGGCCTTGTGACGCTCACTATTTCGAGAAAATTTCTCTTATTCTATGGAGACGAGCCCTGTTGGCAATGGATTAGATAAGACAACATTTAGAGTTGTATTTTGAAAAAGTTATTGCATACAAAGTATTTGCAGTTTTCAAAAGTTCACGACAAAAATCGTTAAGTGGCAGTATATCAGCATATTACATTGATGAGAAAAATTTGGATGGAATGTGCGAGCTTTTTCAATATAAAACTTAGCTGTGCCAAATTTGAAACACGTAGGGCTATTTTATCGATCCCTCCGCGGGTGTGCGGGAATCGTAAGCCTTTGTAAGGTAACAACGTGTAATTTTTAGTGCTTTAGGAAGACTAGAAAGAGGAAGTTGGCTAAACTTAGATCACGTTTTGGGTTCCTCTCGTGAAAGTACGCTGTGGCGAAGATAATTTTCAAATATATTATCATGAGAATGAATGCACAATTGTATTAGGTGAAGTGAGGTGAAATATTTAAAGGTCGTCTTTGCGCGATTATCATGTTTGTACCGGTTTTACGTCGAATTTGAAATAGACAGTACATTAATTAGAGTTGGCGTTAGCGTCGCACCGAGCGCAAAACAAAACAGTATTAATCATAAAAATTGGATTGTGGTCCAGAATCTGTCAAGTAAATGATTATAAGGTAAAAAATTTCAGAAGATGATCCACATTTTTTACGGAAATTTCGGACTACATAATATATTAACAATTACCAAAGAGACGAATAGGTAGAGTAAAGTAGTGTTTTCATTTTTTGATAGTTCCTTTGGACACCTTGGTTTGGAAAGTCGTTATATAAATAATTGTATTAAGTAAAGTAGTGTAGGGTATTTAGTGGTAAGCTATGCCCCACCACAATGTTTTCATCTGTTTTTTCTATTGCATTAATTTTTGTTAAGTTAAATTGCTTAAAATTCTAGTTTTATTTTTACCATAAACGTCAAACATAACATGCAGAGAGTGGACACATTGTTACCGGAAATATTTCAAGATATATACGTACATAAGTATTTTTTCATGGGCAAAAGGAAATAGTAAATAAGTAGAAAGCAAAATAAAGTAAAAATTTTTCCAAAAATATTTGCTATTTCAGCACACATATATAAATATTTTTAAATTCACGTATAACTTCGTATCAGGATTTTTATGATTTTCTATAAAATTAATTTAATATTGAATCGAATAGTGGGCAGACGTGGTAAGTTATGATTTTTTAAGTGAGGTGGAATTTCGAGGCTTTCGAGGTTTCCGCTTAAGAAAGTGGTCCCAGGTATTAAGAATAGATCACTAGATCTACTGCTTATTACGTATTCAAAAGAAAAGGAAAATTTTTATCTGAAAAAAAATTAGCTCACTTCTAATACCAATGCAGATCAACGTTTACGTGAGATTAATACAACATCCATTAAGATCAGACAGAAGTTGTATGTCATTCGGTTCGTTAGGTTGCCAATTACCTATTTCCAAAGAATCCTTGTGTCAGCAACTTAATAACAGATGACATGTACCTTGTTGTGATGGCAATGAATATATTAAACAAGGAATTTGTAATAAACGCGCTTTAAGCAGCGAAATTGTTTGTAAATACACATTGTAACTTGGTAAAAAAATGTTAAGGTGATGTAAGCGTTTATTTTTTTTATTACTACCAATTGCTCGCGTGCAACACGGTGATGGTCGCCAAGACAGGTAAAAGAAATACGCTGGGAGCAAGGGCTGAGCTAACCTTCGATCGGTAACTGTTATCCATGATACTATAGCTATCAGCTGGTCGACCACATTGAGTTTCTAATTCGCGAATATTGACTTAGTAGTCGTGATCCTTAACTACACGCCTCTGCGGCAGCTTAGAACCCAAAAGTTCAAGGCTTTTAAAAAACTACGTTGACGTACGTCGACAATGAAATATGCATTGACCGATTTCTTCGAACTTCGTTGAATTGTTCACACGGAGCTACTCCCCGAGGCCAAACAATTAATAGGAAATCTGCACCTTCAGCGTCATTCGTGTGACTTCATTTGTAAAAGTGTATGGAGATTTTACGTTACAACGATGCCATTCGCATGCTCCACAATTGTTAGTCATTTTTTTTTACAAAAATGAAACTAATGTGTGCCTTATTCGCTTCATATGGCTCTGAGCAGCTGTTTTCTTTTCCCATGGCATTGCTGCGCCCCCTTTTAAATCAACAAAAACGATTGAAGAGAGTTGGCTTTCATGAGTATGCCTAAAGAGATATAAAAAGTATTTCCCGGATGGCAATAATAATTGGACCAGCCTAACAAAAAAATAAAAGAAAAATATATAAACTCTGCAAATTTTTAAAATAAAAATTCCCTTTATCAGTCAAGCACAGAGTTACATAGAATAAAATTTACAAAGTGTACAATTAGAAAGATTTAGTTGCACTTTGCGGTTCTCATTTATTCAGACTAGAACAGTTCAACTTGAATGCTTCCTTACGATTAACCAGAAACGTTTTCAAAGAACTATTTTTTATTTCGTATCCCCGTTGACTCCTATATATATATATATATATATATATATATATATGCGTTTTATATCTATTTATTTAAATTTAATTTTTATTTGATGCAACACTTCATTTTATTTGTTTATAAAATTGAGAAAATATGTTTACATATATATACAAATTGAATCCTTTGTCATGGATCTTTACTGCGTGTTATTTAACGAAGATATATTTCATTTTGTGTTATTATATTTTATGTTATTGTGTGTATAAGTACATGCGAACGACAAAGGAAGTGTACAAAACTTGATATTTCATTCATAAGAGCAGAAAGAGGAAATAATACGTATTAAAAAGAAAAAAAAAATCTGGACAGTCCGTCATTTTGATGTCCCTGTAAAACTAGAAATGGACATCTAAACACTGCAATAGGCTGCAAGCATTTTCAAGCTTTTTATTTAAACGCAAACGAAGTGGGGATTATAACAGTACGCATATTTCGATCGATTTTTATTAGCAAAGAAAGAAAGAGTTCAATAAAAATTCAAAGCACTATGGCGGATCACGGCCCACCATTAAAGGACCTACACCACCCTGCCGTTGTCCATCTAATAACATTTTAAAATAAGTCATTACATGAGAAATAGTCGAAAAAGTGATCCGATCGAATCCATTTTCAATAGCGTTCGTGCTTGGCTCCACACGCTTGAATATACGAACTTTTAACAAAATATCTTGTTGTGACCTGTAGGTTGAAAACAAAAAAAAAGGGGTAGACGGGCAAATAGATTTAAAGGCGGACAAAGGTAGAAAAGGTGATGGTATTTGAGTCGATCGGCCAATCTGAGCTGGCCGGTATAAAAAGGGGGCTCTGTTTCAAGCTCTTCTGCCCGTTGCTTTATACACTCTTCCACCACAATTCAACGACTTGTAGTGCGTCTAATAGAACGTAATGTGTAATACAAAAACTGTTTAATGTTTTTGGTAAGCAATTGGGAGCTTTTCTCGCAGAAGGTGTATAGTTACCCGCTTTTTACTAAAAAAATGCTCCGTAATAAAAAAGGTATTAGAAGATTTTTTTAAAATCGTTCTTCGGGTGAAAGCAGAGTATTTATGTTTGCAAGGAAGTATTAGAAAACGTAGCCGATAGTTATACTGTTTTCTTGTAATATCAGGTTTGTTGACTAAGCTCTTAGAGAAAATGTATTGCTGACGAGTAACCCTTGATTTCTGCCTATAAAGGTCTATAGGAGTTGTTTGGGCTACAGTACATTCGACCATAAAAGGTGGGGTATCCAAAATTCGTTTTAAATGAATATAAATGCTTTTCTTATAGCGTCTTTACTTTATTGCGTAGACGTAATTCTCTTGTGTATTTTGTTGACAAACATAACAAATGTGTTATTTTACAACAATTTTGATTTATTTCAGCAAATTGTTATCTTCTATATCAAGCGCTTATCACATATTTTTATGTTAATATATGTATGTGTATATGTGCGTATGTATGTATGTATGTATGTATGTATGTATGTAGGTATGTATGTATATTCTAAACAAATGAACCATTGTACAAGTACATGTGTCTAACAAACGTGCATTCAGAGATATGACAATATGATTGTAATAATAAATTTCCATACGTAAACATAACAATTTATGTTCAACTACAAAGATGCGAATGTTTTTTTTAATGTTCACACCTTAACAAAATATTTCTTCCACTTCATATATTTATATAAAAATATATGTATGTAATGAATTTTTTTTTATAATACGAACTCTATTATATTAAACGAAACGATTTAAGCAACTTTAAAATTTCAAGTCATCAAAAGCTATAGAAAACAATTCATAATTGGAAAGTAATAATAATGTCGATAAGAAGAATATGTGTACATCTATTCACACGAGTAAGCTCGTAGGCCGCAGATTATATCAATTAGTTCATTTGAACGATTTAATCGTTTCAATTAAATGTTTAGAGTAAAATCAATGATTTTCCCTGCTCAACACGGACTCGTTAAAGGACGATTACGTTCACAAATTTTTGCTATATTCAATACCAAAATCTGGTAATTCGATTAATTGATATGATTGGTTCCCCTGCCTGCGTTCTGATTTGCGGAGAGTGAGTTGTAGATATTATTGTCAGTTCAGGGATCCCCAAAATTATCCCTTAAGTCCTATCCTATACACTTTTTTTTTTAATGACTTATCATCACATGATGTCAAGTTTTTTGAATCGTTCAACCCCAACACTCATGGGCTTCGCAATCTGACTTAAATGAACTCAAGGAGTGGTGTCGCTTAAACTTGACCTTACATAGTCGGAATAAATTCAAACAAATAGCACTCAGCAGATGTACACTTGCATATACATCGCTTTGCATTCATCAAGTCCGCTTGGATGAAATATATATTCTCTTTTCTTTATGCTTGGTAACCTTTGAATTTCGGATCTGCTGTAATCTACACATTGAGTATGTAGTCAATAAGAAGAGCCTTCTTGGGTTAGTGTGAAACGGTGAGCGAAGCCGCACTTTACCAAGGTACTATTCACTGGTCTTTTTAGACCTAGATTATTCTAGAATATGCTTCAATCCTATCAGCAATAAATTGACTCTACCGAATGTTTCCGAAAACGGATTTTGCTGTCCACCTTGTGAGCTCTTGACTAGAAACCGAGTTGCAATTTGCCGCCGTCTGACCGGTTTGGCGACTATCGCTCAACGATTTAGCTCGTCTTGTGAAGCGTGACATATCTTAAGCATAACTTTTGTAGTTAACTTACTGAAAGGCGCAATTGATTCGCTTGCACTTTTAAATTTTGAAATTTGATAAAACACCTACAGTGCAGGTAAACTGAGAACGCGAAGTTCCAAGAAAAGAGACACATAATAAGAATTTTTTACCATATTTGAAAAAATGTCAAGAAGACCTTCTTCTTAGAAGTGATTATAGTAATGAAGATTGCGACAAGTGCTAGCATATGCAGATATTTTATCAACATATTGCATTTGTGAATCTCTCCTTTAAAAAAAACGAGTATAAAAATTATATTCGGGCGGAGCCGAATTTCGTATAGCCACCACCATTAAAATGTGTACCACTCCATGCTTTTATTTATTGTCATAAAAAGGTGGATGGCATGAGTTTTATCTCTCACCTTTTATTTCACTAAAATACATTGTTAAGAAAAGTTACTCTAACATGTCGTGACGTCCACCATAACTAATTTAGAATCAACACGCTTAGCTTTTCGTCTTTTACTCTCCGAGTCGTTTTATTTGATAACCATATCGCTGGTATCGTTAAGAAAAAATTAGTCCACGAGGTCGTGGTGTCCGCCATATTTATTTTGGAATGAACATACTTTTATTTTTTATTTTATTTTATTTATTTTAATTCTACTTATACATGAAACTCAACTAAACAAATAACAGTCGAGTTCAATTGGCACTTACAGCAAAACTTATATTAATCAGTAATAAAACTTAGTATAAGTACAATAAAACAAATTAGAAGGAAAAAAGAAAAAAAGCATGTACACAACCAGCATAGAGCCACACTTACAACCGGTACAGGACCAAATTGCAAGTGAACCCCTTAGCCATCGCATACATGTATAAGCCTAACAACCGATAATAGTTAACAACAATTCATTTTCGAGTCGCAACGACTTTTTAAGGTTAAAAGCACGACATAGGTAAATCGCGTGTATTAAGCAATGTTGCTTTAAAGGGCTTTAAAGCGTCCGATAACGAGAATAAGTGGTAGACGTCATTTAGGTTCTTGCAAACGACTCTGAGCGGATTAAACAGCTCATAATTATATTTACACTGACTAAGCTTAACCAAGATAAAGTGCCTAGAGAAGCGGTTAGGCGCATTAAAGCTTATTTCACTAAGTAATGAATGGGCGGCAATAGCGTCATTTTTTACTTTGTTACAAAGGAAACGCCAAGAACAATTCTACGTTTCTCAAGAGACGGTAAGGACAGCAGAAGCAACCTATTTTCATACGGTAGAAGAGAAGCAATCGGATCCCAATCCCAGTTTCTAAGGGCAAACAGAAAGCAGTGCTTTTGAACAGATTCAATTGCATCTACATAACACCTATATAAAGGAGACCACACAACAGAGGCATACTCGAGTATGGGTCTAACCAAGCCCATGAACAGCCTTTTCGTAATGTAGGGATCATCAAGCTCTTGGGACCACCTTTTTATAAAACCAACCGCGGACCTAGCTTTGCTTATCGAGAGCTCAATATG